TATACCAACAGTAACGGTGTCAGAGTGATTGATCTATCCCTACGTTATACCACACAAACAGTATATGATTTACCCCTACGTTATACCAACAGTAATTGTGTGTGATCCATCCCTACGTTATACCAACACTAATGGTGTGTGATCCATCCCTACGCTATTCCAACAGTAATGGTTTGTGATCCATCCCTACGTTATACCAACGGTAACAGAGATTGATCTATCACTAGGTTATACCACACAAACAGTGTATGATCCATCGCTACGTTATACAACACAAACAGTGTATGATCCATCCCTACGTTATACCAACGGTAACAGAGATTGATCTATCCCTAGGTTATACCGCACAAACAGTGTATGATCCATCCCTACGTGATACCAACGGTAACAGAGATTTATCTATCCCTAGGTTATACCACACAAACGTTGTATGATCCATCCCTACGTTATACCAACAGTAACAGAGATTGATCTATCCCTAGGTTATACCACACAAACGTTGTATGATCCATCCCTACGTTATACCAACAGTAATTGGGTGTGATCCATTCCTACGTTATACCAACAGTAATTGTGTGTGATCCATCCCTACGTTATACCAACACTAATGGTGTGTGATCCATCCCTACGCTATTCCAACAGTAATGGTGTGTGATCCATACCGATGTCATACCAACAGAAACAGTGTCAGATAATCCCTCTGCTATATCAACAGTAACAGTGTTTGATATCCCTAAGTTATACCAACAGTAACGGTGTCAGATAATCCCTATGCTATACCAACCGTAAAAGTTTTGTATCGAGTGTTTGGCCCATCGTTATGCTATACAAACAGTTACAGTTTTGATCCATCCCTGTGCGATACCAACAGTAACAGCTTGGGTATATCGCTATGTTAAAACAGTAGGAATGGCGTCGAATATATCGCAATGTTATACCAGCAGGAATGCTGTCGGATTTATCTCATTGTTATACAACAGAAACAGTGACAGATACATCTCTATATTAATCTAATATGCGCAATGTCGAATATATCCCGTTGCCACTCAACGAGTGTCAGTGATGAGGACAGGGAAGGCAGTCAGCCATTGCTAGGGCTTTCTAACGACAATTCGACATCGTCTGAAGTGGCTACACTGATATAGTTAGAGGGACAGTCTGACAATTTTAAGAGGCATTGGTGGAGGCTTCGGCCAGATGGTATCGTACTGAAGATCTGTATACTGAACTACATCAAAGACTCAACTGTAGATTTTTTGGGTATGTCGTTTGGCATGTACCTTGTTGATATATCGTGTAACCCGGACGGACCCTGATGAAACGACGTGTTCTTTGCATCGTGAATACTCACTTGTAGCGTGTAGGAACTGTTAACGTCAAACTGCACGTACCGTTTTGATGATAACGCAAAAAGATATTACGATTTCTAAGGGGCTTTATCTCAAAACAGTGCAACGACAACACATTACCATACTTAAGATTTCTCTATCAAAGACTGTGCCATGATTTTAGAAAGAAATAGCAGTTAACAGTGTGTCCTACCAATGATGGCGCTAGTATTGTGGCATCATAAGTTGAAGTTAACTGCACCGTGTCATATGGTTTAACCAAACAAACCAACGACGTATTAAAGCAACCAATTCAAGGATATCTCCTCGTGACGACACATGTAAAAAACGTTTACATTCCTACGTCGTAATTCGGTTAACACAACTATATTAACAAAATACTGGCACCAGAAAGTGTCATGATTAGACAAAGTCGATAGTAATATATCGACACCAATGTTGTTTATTCTGTAAACTTTTAGTGTGTGTATTTCAACCTTGAATGAACAAATCTGTCTTCATTGCTGCATGGTTAGACATTTACGGATTGTATATCATTACAGCGTAGATTGACAAAATAATAAAAACACGAGGGTGCGTAATATGCCCGTCGAAAACCCGTCTAATATAGTCGGGATATACTATTACTATCTAGTGAATGTGTAGAAAAAAAATCGGAGTTACAGTTATAATGCAACCGTGACTGCAATACGTAACACTGCACTCATCTCCCCATGGTACTGCCACATATCATTTTTTTTAATTTTATTTCTGGCACTAAATAGTACGTGATATACGGACTTTCCCGTAACGAAAAGGGACATAACTCTCTTATCAAATACATGCAATCTGCTCGTCAGCTTTCTTGGTACATGTATCCGTCCATAATGTTGAGAACATAACATCGCAATACAATTCTATTTACGGAACGTACGGCTATCATGATGAATGCATTGACCAAAACGTTTATGGTATGTAATGTAAATGTGTTTGTCCCACCTGTCTTATACCTGTTGACCAATTCTCACATCAGCTCATATTTATGGATATCGTGTTTTAACGTTATGTTGAACGACAGGCGTAAACAAAAGCTGTCATGGAACAACTTTGCAACAAATAAACATAGCCGTATATGTTTAGGTAGGAGAGTCAAAGCTACGAGAGCCGTCATCAGACAGCACTATATACACTACATAATTATGAACACTACACGAACATGATTGAGTCGAAGAGGAAACCTGCCATTGCCGTCTTTTCAACTCAACAAAGGCTGTCAGCTTATCAGAGAATTTTCGTTCCGCAGTAAAAAGAACAAACGTCCATATGAACACAACTATTTGGCTCTAACGTTGATGAAAGTAAGAAATTGTATTGTCACAAAGGATGAACTAAAACTTTGTAAACAAAGCGTAGATTATCATATCAATATTGCACTGCATTGGTTATCGAATGTCTAAAGACAGGTGTGTCAGCTTTATGGAATTCCCTGCTTAGTTATAAGAGATATATAACTCCACAGCCTCCAAAATTGTGATAAATTGAGGAAATAGTAATGACACGCTTTGTGCAATATGACTTTTATGGTTACGATTCATATCAATGCAGAGGCAGATAATAACTTTCTAAGAAATATGTATTCGTATTCATGGCGTTATATTTTCTTATTTAATGCCGCAGTGTATCGGGAAACATCCTGCTTTAGATTGATCGCCCGGAAACAGAAACAGGAAAACACTATGAACGTATGCTATCTTCTTAGATTCTAATTCTGTTCGATTTAAAAAGAGCTTTATAAAATCGGACTTTTCAGCTCCATTGAAACTACATTGTATGTAATAAAAATTGTTATGGTATTAACTTTACATAAAGCTACACAGTCCTTAAACCAACACTGTGATTTTATGTTTTACGTTTGACTATTCGTTAAAGGTAAATTTAAATATAAATTCGACAAATTCTTTGAAAATATGGTTTTCCTTGTGTGCAATTAATCTCAAAGACATCAAATATACGTTAATTCTCGAACGCGCATTCCACAAGCTGTTTCAGATTGATTTGTGTGTTTGTTGATGCCATAGTATAACAAAAAATCTATTTTAAAATAAAAGCTTTAGTAAAACAGCATATTGGAGTTACAAATTCAAATCATCTTATTGACACAGACAACTTGAGGATATTTTGTGTATATTGTATTTTTTTATCTACAGTGCTTATATATAATAAAGTAATTTATTATTGAGCTTACATATATGCAATCTCCTGATTGTATATCGAATGAACCGGTAGGTGAAATGGCGAGTTTTTATATTTTGAAGAGAGTTAATATTTTGCACTATCACCCTCTAACGAGTGTATTAGTCTGTATGTTATGCCGACGTTCAAGAACTAAACAAGCATGAAAACAAAAGAAAAATCTTGATCGATGTTAATAAACAATTAATCATTCTGTACGAACAACCACTCGTTAGCGAATCTTTGCAATTCCAATTTTTCCTTAGGACCTAATCAGTGTTTTGATAGTGTCATAATATTGATTTTTGCCACACTCATAGACGTTCTGCTATACTGTGTGCACACAAGTGGCATATATATATATTGGTCCTCAGAATAGTCTCTTGTTTAAAAGTAGCCTAAATATTTCAGTTCTAAACAATAACGTAAAAAAGCGTATGTAGTACAACCGCGCCGAAGACAATGGCCGGCAACTAGTCTAACAAAAACATATCATAGAGTCCTAAAAGAGACAACGACTCTAAAGGTGTCCTCGGTCAACCATAAGTAACAATTAGAAAGCGACTCTCGCCTACACTCGGTCGGGATGCGGGATGTCAGTTCTTGTTATTCACTCATCGATACAGGGATATACCACTAGGTTGACCTTTCCGATCTACGGGTGCTTTATGTATTGGCTGTATTATGATGTAAACATCCAAGTCAATTAATGTCTACGAAGAGCTGGCTTAGAATGTTGGCCCTTGTGGTTTGTAGTCAAACGATTCTCCACATCCTGCTGGGTTTTTGGCCATTCCAGTGCATTTGTGCAATTCCGAGACAGGTTCGTTAGAACACTAAAGTTGATTGACTGAATATATTGATGCATTCACCACCATTTTGAAGGAAACCTTAAAAACGTTAGTGTCTTTTTCAGCTAATTATTCCGGAGGAAGTTTAAGGGGAACAGACATGATTGATGCAACAGTTACAAAGACTTCCCGACATGTTTATGCTTATTCACTCTCCTTTGCCCGTTATGAGTGATAACATTGACAATAGTGGCACACCTAATACAATGAACACGATACATGGTAACGTTGTGCTCGTATCGGTTTTGTAAATAACCTCTGCTTAAAGAACTGAGGTGACAACTCAAAGTCTTAAAAAAGGGGAAAACAAATTATAACAGAACTTTTATTATACTTAAGTTATATAATCTTTCTATTCGTTACATGAAAACATTTAATAATGATATAGACATTTCAGAATTGCCTTCTTTTATATTTTCTTTTTATAGAATTTTCATTTTATGAAATAATCCGATACTTCTCTCTGTCTTAAGGATTTGTACGTGATGAATTACAATAACTCGTTTTAATTAAGAATATATTATTTTGGAACTGTGCTGAAAGAAAATAACACAATCGCCTAATTATCTACGGTTACATGTTCTAACAGTTTGTAGCCAAGTACACCTCAGCACAGCCGCCCTGTTTGGCCCTCGATCTAACAACATTGCCTCCTTCACCAACTCTCTCTGCTCTGCTCTCCACATTCCACACATCGAGTTCCGGGAGGACGGGAACATGGAACCACCACAGGGCTACTCCATTAATCTACACCCTAACGCGCAGCAATTAGCCCAGGCATATCAGGCCGTAATTGAATATTACAGAATGAAGGAATTGCTCATCATTTACGGCGAAAAGGAAGGTAGGCGCTGCAAGGGTACATCACGGTTCATTTCGTTGAAATTAAATTCAGTATTGAATATGCTCCTAAAACAATTATATAACCATTATGCCATTAATTTCATTCTGACTTTCGATTTTGCAAAAGGCAATGAAAACGTTACTGCTCAATACAGGTTCAATATTAAGACGAGACATCAACCATAAAATAAAACATATTATATACACAGCTTCCACGAGTATTTCCCTTTTTAGTGCTCATGTAGTGTATGGATTGCTACAATGATTGCTGTTCGAATTAGCATAACATAGATGTGTAGGGAAATGTGTTAAGTAATTTACCTTGTGATTAATATATAAAGAATATTACTTAAGAGAAAAAATGTGACATTTGCTATTTTCCTGCATCAACCAAACATCCATGTAACAACAATCACTAGTTTTAAATATAGACTTAACTAAACAGTTCGATGTTGTTTGAAATGACAATGAACATCGATTATACATTCTGCTTCATCTTGCGAATACAACAAAGATGTATGTAAAAAATAAGTGGTAATATATCACTGTAAATATCTTTATTGAACACATATATGTTTTCGCAAATGTACATTATGTGTTTGATATACGAAACGCATTTAACGAGATGTTATCGTGATCTGTGAAACTAATAAATAATAACTTATTTTTAGTATAAGAAAAATGGATAGGCAAGGCAAGATAATATCTTGTGATTTATGATCGAGATAGTTAAATGCATTGAGTCACAAGACTTTAAATGTAAGTCACATGGGAGTATGAATTCCAAGCGATATAGGAAAAATAACGCTGAAACCATTTCAAATATGCTACAACTTCCTCACAGACAATTAATGCATTGTCATATCATAATTTGTAGACACTTCCTACACGTGCCAAACAATTTAATTGTCAAAATAAATATGTGAAATTACGAGTATATTCTCATCTGTATGATATATCAACAGACCTAATAAATTTGATGAACTACTTAGGTGCCATTACATACCGTGGAAACAGAGACCGAAATCATTACAGTAACATGAGGTTAACATCAGACTATGTCTTATCAAAGACCCATGTTTAGACATGTATGTCCTTTATGAATAGTGTGTGAATTTGATGTACACTAGCGTACGCGCAATGAACAGGATTGGACATATATCCAATTTTAGTGCATTAGGAAGAAATTTACCAGGTTTGGGTAGAGTATGCATTAATTTTATTGATAAGAAGAGACATTGTAAAGATGTTAGGCAATGTTATTCCCATGACTGATGTCACTGCCATAATAGAGGAAACTTAAAGTTTTAGTCACGTATCAACCTTACCCAGTGTCGCGGGTTCGTTGACATATGATTTTCTATATTTTTTACATAAGCAAACACAACATTCTTTATGAATGCTTGTTACTGAACTACTATAATTAACAAATCAATCCTTTTTGATATCCAATGAGTAGCGTCGTAAGAGGCTGAACGAGTATATTCTGACATAGGATTGCACAAAAACACCGCATACGTAAAATACCTGAAAATCGACAAAATTATCCATCGGATATCATTAGCGAAACTCACTCAAATTTCGTAAAAGTAATCACCACGTCAATGACTAATCATGTATAAGGAGGAGCCTGTTGCCTCAGTGTTTATTTCGTTAATATTTTTTATCATATCAATAACAGATGCTGTTATTTATCTGTTACAGGTTTAGTGAAAATGCAAAACATTCTAAGAAGTGTATCTCAAGAACCCACCAAAAACGTTTATATACGACAGGCAGACCGAACGAACATGCGACAAGTTTTAAAAGAAGCAAAGAAGAAAAACTGGACCAATATGATTGTCGACATGAATGCAACGGGGACAGGCCTTCTTCTAAAAATAGTAAGGAAGATCTTTGTTCAAAAAAATAAAAAAAATAGTATTACGTTCATTTCTACATTTCACATAACGATAGCAGATTCAAGGTGTGGTAGTGGACACTTTTCATTTTCATTTAATGTATTCAAAAAGGCATAACACTGAAATACTGTGAAATCAGGTATTTTTATGGGGTCCAATTTTCGTCGTATCAAAACACCAATTCGTCGAAACATGAATTCATGGATAACGAGTACCCACGCAAACGGAGAATTAATTCATGTCCAAATTGTAAACATTACCTCGTCTTCGTTGATAAAGAATTTCAACGATTTCAACGAAAAGGAAAGGAAACCCCCACGAAATGAATGATTTTACAGTATTATATACTTCATTTTAGCGATTAAAAATTCATTCAATAGAATTGTTTATAATCAATATCTTGTTAAATACAATTAAACCCGATAAACTATTTTTCGTTTCCCGGTAAATAGCTTACCCTATTATATTCCCAGCTGCCATCTTTTCCCCAATGGAAAATACGGTCTACTTTAATCCCCGTAGAAAATAATGCCATCTTCATCCCTGTCAAGTTTAGTCCTAGTGGAAAATATGTCACTTTAATTCCAAGTGGAAAAGTTGCAACCTTTATTCCCAGTAGATAATCCAACAGGCAGAATGTCCAGCTATTCCAGAATGTAATGCAGACACTTTAAACCTCAGTAAATATTTCAGACAAATATGTTCCCTGTAAATCATACAGTCCCCTGAAATCCAACTTGATAAGCTAGTCACCATCATTCCTGTCATAAAATATAGCCCCTTTCATTTCCAGTAGACAATATTACCACCTTGATCTAGCCGCCTTAATTCTCAGTAGATAAACCAACCACCTTAAATCCAAGTTGATATCATACACACACCCTATTTCAGACAATAATACAGACACTTTAATTCCCTGTAGATTGTACAATGACCTTAATTGTTAGAGAAACTACAGTTATCTTAAGTCTCATTAAATACAGCAACCATCATTTTAAGCAGACAACATAGCCACCGTTATCCCCGGTAGATAATCGAACAACCTTGGTCTCGAGTAGGTAATCTAAAACCCTACTCACCATTAGATTATTCAGACACTTTAATCCCCAATCAATATTAAATCTGTCTTAATTACAAGTATACTATCAAGTCACCTTACTTCCCTCTATATAATACACCTTTATGCTATCTGATTGTGCAATTGCCTTATTTTCTAGTAGAAATTACAGCAATCTCAATTTCAATGGCTAAAACAGTTACCTTAATTCCCAGTAAATGTAGGTAGTGGAAAGCCTGGACCATTAGGACATCTGGTAAAGATAAAGTTAATTTTAATCACAGAAATCTTACAAAGTAGAGGGACAACCGGCTGAATGGAAGATAATGTAACAGTGATTTACTCATTTTCTCTTTTGTTATTCTTATTTTAATTACTTCTTTTCATTTTATTAATTATTTATTTAAAACATGCGGACACATGAAACTGATTTGTCGATATAGATAATCTATAATTGACCTTAATGTTACGGAATATATACATATAAATCTTATCACGTTAACATAAGAAAAATCCATTATGAATTCAGCGATGTCGCAATTATATATTCAGAACGTTTAAAGTATCGCGCACGTTATTTGTATTTCTTCAATTTGATTCAACACGTAAATGTTCTGTTTAGTTTTTGTGTTGCTTTACGGCCCATACAAAATTTGAGTCATTTAGGGCCAAACAACAATGTTTAAACTAGACATTCACAAAAAACTGAATACATAAAAACCAGAAATAAATGGTTAAAATATGTAAAGATGTCAAACTATATCAATAGCAAACGAATTGTTTATAAGATATATCATATCTTATTAAAGAGATTAATTGGATGTAAATAATCATTTGATTGCATAGGAACTGTATCAAATACACATTTCATAGAGGGTACATTATAAAATCTGTCACATATAACGAATTAAGTATTCCAGAGTATTCAACTTGAATAAGAGGATTTTGATAATTAACTACGTAATGTTATTAATGTTAATTTACATAAACTTATCAAAATTTCATGTGAGGTTTCATTTGAATACATAAGCACAGTCATTGACATATACCGCTCTATGCATTAATCATACAAGACAATTGATGTTAAAACTACCTATATCATACAAACACGCTTACATATAACATGTCACTGTCCATACCACATTTGGTTTATCTGTATATGTGGTATAGCCTTCAGAAACAAACATACACAGCAGCTTATAAACATTATATAACTGATACTAATGTCATATAAACGACGCCAAAATAGCATACGTTGTACTCATATACCAGGAGCATTGCCTACTGTCCGACATAATTGAACACAGAGCTGAAACATTACGTATACAATTTACTACCAGTACAATTTTAATGCGCGTATTTGAACAATGAATATTCGGAGCAACATGGGAAAGATGAAAGGAAAGAAACATATACAAATATCGTTAACGCCGCAGTCTTCTCATTTCAGGCATAAATTAGTACTTAATGTCTTATGAAAATATGTTACGTCGTCTGCCAATATTTTTCTACGTGTCACTCTGCTTAATTGCATTGCGAACTAGGCGTTCCAGGAGCTGGCCAAACATTCCTTATCTTAAGCATCTGATGGAAATTAGGCAACTGAGAGAGATCAGGCTAGAACTACTTCCTGTCACACTGTCTTACGTTTTGATGGACGCTGTGTTCCTCCATGACAGATGATGTGTTGGTTGAACGTCGATTTTGAAACAAGTTGAGAGCAAGAAGTCATATATCAGCGATCCTACTGACACATGTTGGAATGTCGATATTTTAACCATGTGTGTGACTTAGCCTAGCTTTATGAGCGTCTTCGCCGTACTTCACTGTTTACAGTTTTTGGGATTTCTAACAGCATTTAGGCATTCAGTTTCAGAACTGTTTGACGGACGAAGAATGCGGGTGTATCATAGTTATCTTACCATTGTGAAGCCCATCAGAAACATCCCATAACAAGAAAGTGTATGTAAATATATCGAATATATAGAGCAACACCATACGAACATTGAGGATAGGTTCAATCAACGTTAACGAAGCCCATCATAAACATCCTATATTAGGAAAGTGTGTGTGAATATATTGAATATATAAAGCAACAACTTACCAACTTTGAGGATAGGTTCAATAAACGTTCACGACGCGCTTCAACTCAATATCATTCTATGAGAATATGTAATGATTATCTTACTTAACACCAGCCACATCATAAGATATGTCCTTGAGAAATATGAATGTCATGTGAACTTTATCCTGGAAGTGGTACATGAAGCCCGCTTAAACCAAAAACGGGGGAGGGTTCATGATGGTTTTGAGACAATCTGTTTCTTGTAACGTGAGCAGTGATGGTGTGATATGAGGTTATACATCACTATATTACTTCACATACAGCACATGTAGCAAAGCTCGTAAACAAACATTTGTGAGATACTCTGTTTCGAAACAAAATCACGATTTGGATCTATGAAGTAGAGTGTCTTGGTACAGGACATTTCTGGAGAAATTACTTATCATCAAATACTAATGTCAACACATTTATCTGACCATTTTCTTATTTGAAAAAGAAACCTAACCATAAGCCATTCCCTCTTTTGATACTTTCAACGAAGATGCTATTCTCTTGTGGTTAAATTGCCCGTTCATATTAGTATCTATGTTTTCGTTTTCCCTAACGGTTTAGTGCTTTAACGGACAAGGTGTGGATGTATATGCAATAAGGCCCATCAACCCACCACTGAGCATATCATCTTTGTACAAGTTTATACTGTTATCGTAGCAGTTAAGAGGTGGTTAAGTCTAAAGCCAGAAACAGATGGAGTTATGTAATAGATGGAACAGGATAATGTGAAAAGCATCTAATATTGTCCGATAAAACTGTATTTCTAACACTCAGATCAAGTACACAAGAATGTTTTATTAATACGAAATGTTGCAGTTACATTTTATATAAATACTTAGCAATAGGGATATAAAAAGAATTATATAATTAAACAATTGAAAAAAATACCGATTGAAAAGATATGAGTATTGTTTATGTTATGAATTAGCAAAAGAAAATATCACAACAACAAATAGGGATAAAGTAAACAAATCAAAATGTAATTACAACGACATCTCATAGGGATAAAGTATAAATACACAGTAAAAGAGTAAATATCACAACGACATCACATAGGGATAAAGTATAAATACACAATAATAGAGTAAATATCACAACGACAACACATAGGGATAAAGTAAAAATATACAATGATAGAGTAAATATCACAACGACATCACATAGGAATAAAGTATAAATACACAATAATAGAGTAAATATCACAACGACAGCACATAGGGATAAAGTATAAATACACAATAATAGAGTAAATATCACAACGACATCACATAGGAATAAAGTATAAATACCCAATAATAGAGTAAATATCACAACGACAACACATAGGGATGAAATATAAATACAGAATAATAGAGTAAATATCACAACGACAACACATAGGGATGAAATATAAATACACAATTATAAAGTAAATATCACAACACAACGACATCACATAGGGATAAAGTATAAATAAACAATTATAGAGTAAATATCACAACGACAACACATAGGGATAGTATAAATTCACAATAATAGAGTAAATATCACAACACAATGACATCATGTAGGAATTACGTAAAAAGACAACACATGAGAATTAAATCAATGCATCACAATGCCGTAGTAAAAAAATCGCAATACCACAAACATGGATAGAAAATCTTTCGCAATGTTAACACACAATGACAGAATAAGATAATATAAACAATATCACACAACGTGAACACATCTCAAAGACACGAGGATATACTAGTAGTACAAATGTTATACAGTTTACACAAACAGATTGAGTAAAAACAGCAAACGTCAGAATAAAACCTTAACTCGACAAAAAAGCCGAGAAAAAAACCATCAGGAAACATTTTTAACGTGCAAATCCGGGGTCGAAACCATATCAGTCCTTTTGTGAATCGCTGTCTTATAAGTGGAGAAGGTAATTATTGAACCTGACCGTCTATATTTATGTCTAGGTCTAGTTTTGTTTCAAATACACTGGCGGTGCCCTGTACGCTCGAACGGGAAATTCAAAACTTCCTATCGTATCTCGATCAAAACACTATTTTTCTAATAAACCTATGTATTTCTTTATTATTTATGCAACTTATAAAAAATATAACAATAGTAACATCACTACCAGCATTTTTAACAAAGTGAGTGTAAAAGGGGATGCAAGAAAATGTCCAGATAGAGAGTAAGGATGTGATGTTATTGGTATAACATCGAATTAAAGATGATGTATACGAGTTGATTCTTGATAATTGTTGTAAATTAAATCAAATATAATAAAAAAAAAGAGGAAAAACATAAAAAAAAAGGAGAAGAAAAGAAGTACAAAAATGAAATGGCTTGGTGCCAAGCACCATATATACGATATAGAGCAGGAAAAAAAAATACAATAAATTTATCAACCTTATGCATACTAACTACTTACATACTAACAAAAAAAAGAATGCTAATGAATTGCAATGTCTTATTATAATGATTAGACAACCAAAATGAAGAGCCAATTCTGAGTACAAAAATAAATAATTAAATAAATAAATGTATATACCAAAGCTCATTAACATTTTATTTGTTTCAGATATTGTTTTAAAATAGTTTCCCTGCATTTGTGTGTGTCTGGATATTTTGTTTTTTGAAATGTAAATTTTCTATGTTTTCTATTAATAAGTGTAGAATCGATTATGTTAATCGCCTTGGAGTAATGTTTCATATTAGTGTTGAATATTATCGATATTTTATTAAAAAATCATAACATTCTGGTAAAAAACAATTAATAATAATTATTTAATTGCAGAACCTATACCAATACATTTCAATTTTGAAAAAAAAAAAAGGGATATTTTAAGTTAAGATAGAAAGTCTGGTCTGTCGATCTGTGACTGGCCTGGCCTACCGTGATCACAACGTCGTAAGCAAAATCGATTTTAAGGATGATTCCTTCCTGATGCCGTGTTACAACTGCCCATCAAGTACACAGTGTTATGGAATTCTGATATGAAAGACACAATTGTTAACCGCTGAATTGCCATACGGGCATTCTGTTCTTCATTTGTGTTGTAAACAAACGGACTAGGTAATATTTAAATTCTTAAGATAAACACATTTTGCAGTAGAATACTCAAATGTTTATAAACCATTTTGTTTCAGGCACTTCAGGAAGGCATGATAGACCCATATCATCACTACATTTTTACAACACTGGTAAGTGGCTGTGGAATAGATTCGGACTTAAATATATTCTTTATGTCTTCGGAAATGTTTATGCGTATCATATGTGGTCGTACCGGATGTATCCGTAGTATTGTGAGTTTAAGTAACTAATTGCACAAGAGAACGGTCAATATAGGACATGTTTATGACCTATCGGTAATGTCTTGAAGGGCTGTGGGTTATTGTTATGGCTGGCGGTACGAGTTTTATCGTATCCACTTCGTCGTTAATGCTGTTTCGATTAACCATCGTCAAGATGAAAATATAAATTGTGAGAGTTTGGTTTCAAAAATAATATATACCTACTGGGCAATTTCCTCTATGATAAACATATGTAGTTGAAGTGTTTTAAGATTATTATATCAGAATACCATATGGTTCGTGGTTCTGTATTAATAAATGAAATAACTACACGGACATCAATAGACAACTTGAAATGGTGGCACGTTACACCGTGTACTGTATTGTTATGCTGCTTGTTGCCAGCATGATAACTTTTTGGAGATTACTTCAAAGGGCGATAATTGGCAAACAATGCACACAAATCATACTTATTTTTCAATCGTCTCAGTTTGCAGTACATTAGTCTGAACTAGAATCAAAACTGTTATTTAACAAAACGAATGCATTTGTATTCTCATATGAAAACTGAGTTTGGTAACAACGACACATGGCAATAAAGAAACATTGCTAACGAATACTAAGAGATTAAATTAAGTGCCGTAAGGTGTCATTGGCCCACCTGTATTATGGATGGGTGACGCTATAATCACAGGTGTCATTCTTCGTGATTTACACTTGCTGGAAGATCGCTTATAAAATTCCCTAATGTTCGTCCATGTGAACTAAAATCGCGTTACCATCAATGAAGCCTATCATCAAAATTAGCTGGATAATTATATCTTGGAACCAAAACACAATTATCACCGATTCAACCTTGAGATTGTGTTAAACGCTTTAATGACACATTTGCGCTGGCTGCATTTGTGACTGTACAATATAATTCATGGTTAGCTGTAACATTGACAATAGCTTGGAACTGAAAGGGCAAAATGGTTTTGAGGATGAATGAAAAAGCCATACCAATCACCTCTAAAATGTAAAGGGAAATAGGTTTGATATACTTTCTAAACGTACACATTATAAGTCCTGTCCTGTCAAACTAGTTGGTAAGACAGAGGTATAGTACATGTATCTACATTTGATAATGTCAAATAGTCTGTATATTGGGCTATTCTCCGATTAAACAAGCCATCACCTTGCTAATCTTTCTCACACGTGTTAAGAATCAAGAATCCCGTAACACTCCAAGACTGTAACAATGCATTTGAAACGATTGTTTAGTGTCCGAACCCTTGACATTTTACTACCGCTCGAACCATATGAGTAAAGGGATCGCTGCAGTGTTGGAACCATGCGTAAAATGTCTCTTCATATAGCAAGTGTTTTTATTGTTTTTGTTTTTTCCTCAATATTTCTATATACAATTGAAATAAAAACTCGATTCGTTTTCCAGGACATAGACTCGATAGAGCTGGAAAATTATAAGCATAACTACGTCAACCTGACAGGATTCCGCCTGGTCGATCCCCAGGACGAGTTCACACGTCAGATTATTGAAGACATGTATGTTTACGAGGCCAATACCCAGCTAAAGCTCATCAACGACGTCAAAAACAAGGAGCGCACCATACCGGTAGGTACACACTGACTATGATAGCGTATCTAAGCTTTGTTGTGGTGAAATTATTGTTTAACACGAAATAGTCGGAAGCGAGTTCCTCCACAAGTGTGATGTTTGGTATGGTTTGGTTTATTTTATTTAACGCCCTATTAACAGCTAATGTCATTTAAGGGCTTGCCTCCATGTGTGTTGTTTAGGGTTGCGCTCGTGTGTGTGTGCTAAAGAAGGGTATGTTGGGGTTATTGCCTCCTTGTAATTGTGATGCTTTATAGTACTATATCACTGAAATACCACGCCGAAGGGACCCAGCACAGCATTCCGTCCGGCCACATTATGCTTACAACTGGTGAACCAGTTGTTGCAATAACCCTAAATGGTGAACGCTCAGCAGGTAATACCTACTACCATTATGAAGAACTTTGGTTATCCGGGCCTGGGGACAGAGCCCATTGCCTTCCTCACCTGGACGATATTCAACATTAAAGCAAAAGGAAGGTATTGCTTAGGTAGGCGCTAGGAAAAAAAGTAGTTACAACTAGAGTGATTGAAAGATCCCAAATATTGCAATGGGTGAAGCAGATTGTATTTATGTCTCGACCTGGAAGGGGTAGGTTTGATGCACATGTTACATAGTTTGACCTACAATTTGCAATTATTGGTGTATTTAGTTTTCATGTATGATGTTTGGAAATAAGGTTTGGTTTTGCTATAGAAAGTTTAACGTTCTATTATGTGTGTCGGAGGCGGTCTGTTAGTGTAGATGTCTCCTTAAGATAACGCCGATCAGATGCCGACTTTAGTGCTTCCTCACTGAAACACCATGCCGAATGCACCTAGCACCGTATTCCTTCCGGTCACATTATACCGACAAGGTTAACCAGTCGTTTCGATTACCCTCAATGCTGATCGTTTAGCAGGGGAAACAATTACCGTTTTAGGGACTATGGGAACAAAATCTATTGTCGTCCTCACTTGGTCGCAAGTGAATTATTTCCAAGCAAGGCGTTAGAAAAACAAAACGGTTGTTAGGAAGTAGAGAGAAAAAATATATATATCTCAAATGTTGCACTGGATGCAGCAGATTTGTATTGGTCGCTAAAATGTCATTAAGCAGAGGAAACAAAAGCTTATTCCCAATTCGCAGGGGGATCCCACTTTAGTAGCCCATTCAAAATGTTCCGAATCCTTGCTGTAATGTGTGACCTCACTCGAATATGGTTCCATATATAACAATATTATTTCACAACTGTTATAGTGACTTTTGGGTCGTTGTGGGTTGTCTGAAAATGCAATAGATTGAAATTTTAAATATTTTCTCATTTAACAACATATATATTCCAATCGTGCTTCACTCTCGTTAAATTATCAGCACTTTGCCATACTCGTGAAACACATTTTTTCATTCAATGAGAAAACCATCAAAAATCCCTTTTTTATACCTGCTTTATCTTACTATACTACTGCATACATCGTGCATGTGATACTGAGCCTTGTATCATACCTGTGTTATGTAAAGTATGTTGTTACACATAAAGCTCGATCGGAACTCGTTTTGGCTGGAATTCTTCATTTGATATATGTTGGATTTCTCACGCATGGATGTATTCGTCTGTACAATAGAGACGATCTAAGCGCAATATCGTAAAAGCACATACAAATAATATGTATGCATGCATATATTTCACCCTTTAGTATGTTTACATGTATTCACAAAAACGGAAACAAATATGTAGGCACTCTCCTAACCATTGTATTCTAATGGAATTTTGTATCATTGTACAGATAATACTACAATTGTGGGACCGCACAACGCACCAAAATTAGCGTGCGCCCACCGTGCATGCATCGTTCACAAACCGTCCGCAAATCGTCCACACATGGTGAGCACAACTGTGCGATTTAGCAATCATTCGCCCCGTTGTGCGCTTCTCTCCGCACAACTGTGCGATTTGGTATTATTTGTAGATCAAAATTACGGAATGACAAAAATACGGAAGGCTTGTATGCGATAATGTACACTGTGTATATATCTGTAAATTCTCATCACAATAATCAAGATTATACAAATTAAGTGCCCCAGGCGGGGAGAAAACTACGGTCCAGGTACATGTACAAAGTGGTTATGTTTACCTGTATACGGGATTGTGTTGTAATTTTACATGTGTCGATTAAGTTTGTTTAAAAACACAG